TAAAATAAAATAAAGTTTTATCTATACCTACGGCCTCTTTCTAATTTAATTAAAATTATGAAAAGTAAACAAAGTAAAAAAATGGACAAACTGTTCTATTTATGGAGCAATACTTGATTAGCAAACCTTAACTTCAAAAAATCATATCTTGAAAACTACTTATATTATTTTAAAAATTTAGATTCTTACTAATAAAAAGATGCTCTACACGATGGTGACAAACAAAAAAAAATTGCTCGTAGGGTTCTTCTTAGATTACTTCGATTTACTTCGAACTTCTTTGAACCCTGTTCGAAGAAAAGTTTGCCAGTATTCAAATCAAATTGCATATCATTCTAAAGGGCAAGTCCACCCCTTTAGAATGGTCTTTATTTGAAAGAAATCGGCCTAATAGTTATTGAGTAATGATTTTTTAAATTTAAAGTATTTTAAATTCATTTAAATTTGAAAAAATTATTTAGTTCAAAGTGTGTGGACTTTTTGAATTTTCTTTTAGTGCATTTGATTTTTTAAAATTTGTCAAGTTGTCACGACATGACCTTTTTTGTCGCTCTGTGTAATCTCTTATTCAAAATTGTTTCCAGACTTGACAATTTTAACGTTGTTGAAGATTTAACAACCACGAATCCTGAAGAAAACTCTTATCATTTCATTGTTATCTTAATTAAATGTCTGGCTTTATTGGATAAACTTCCCTTCGCCGTGAATAGGATTAAGGAAGAAATGCAAGTTTTTTTATTAGGGATCATTCAACGCACCACTCAACACATTAAAGACTTCGCTGGTTTGCAAACCGAAACTGATTATAAACACGCCTTGAAGGAGTTAGTTCAAACCTTGTTTGAGCAATTTAAAGAAGTGGCAGAAGCACAAACGGTTTTTTTGCGTAATATTGAAGTACATAACAGTCAAGTCAATACTTACAACATCCAGTTTTATTGGACGCAAGTCCAAAATGTTGTTGAAATTCTCCTAAATGAGTATTTGGACGTTCAAAACACTTCAACTGAGTCTCAAGTGATCAACAATTCGGATGTTAACGATTTATCCTCGTATTTTGGCCGCCGAAAGCAACCCATGTTTGTTGGTTTACTTGTTTGATTTGTTACTAAATTATTTTTGCAGTAAAAAAAAATCCCTGTTTAAATTCGACAGTTCGTCCAGTGCCCTTACACTAAGCAGTAGTTTGAAGTCGACTAAAAATGATAAAATTCTAGTTTGTAAGCCTCATTCTAACAATATCTTGATTGTTTTCATTCCGTTCATGTGTTTTATTGAGGATATTGAGCAAGTATTGGGCCAGAATGGGTAAGTAAATGTCACTTGTCAAAAATATGTCGTTCGGTGTACCGGACATTGTGTCGATTTCAGGCCGTGTCAATTGCACCGTTTTATAACCCAGTACGTGTCTGAAGTCTATTTGAAACGAAAATCGGATGAAATAATCGAACAAATCGAGACTGCGGTTCGGGCTACTGATGCATGGAAAGCTACAGTTCTTCTCGATTGTACGGCTGATTATAAACCACTTTTGGTCGTATGTTAGCCCCCCAAAAAACTAAGTAAAGATTGCAAAAGTTGAATTTTAGAGTAGTGTCAGTGTTGAGCGTTGCATACGGGAATGGAAGGCCGTTTTGCAAGCCTTGCCGATTTATAGTGAACGAATTGCTGTTTATTCGTGTAAAGCCTTGAAAGAGTACAAAGATACGTGTTTTGCCGCCTATTCTGGCATAGTACAGCCCCATTCCGAGGATAGGAGGATCTGCAGCGCAGCCTGGTTGAAAGATGAGGATATTAGCCGATTTCTTAAGTGAGTAAATAATAAATAAATCGTGCTTCTATTAAAAAAAAAAACAATCAAAAGGTTTTTTCCTACGACCATATACGAAACTAGATCATAACGCACCAATTACATATGCGCGAAAATTGGCAATATCGTGCGATTTGTTTTCGCACTGTGTGTTAGAAATCTAACGCACGATTCACACTTGAATGTTTTGTATTTTTTCATTTAACGTATTTTTTTTTGTATCCATTATAAAAAATAAATCGAAAAAAAAATATGTTCGTAAGAAAAAAATTATTTATGGTCGTAGGAAAAATAGTGTACAAAACTTGCAGGAAAGTGTCTAACGCACTCGCGGTAACTTTCCCGCTTGTGTGTTATTTATCACTTTCCGTCTGATTATGTAATATACTATTTCAACCAGTGAACAGATGAAGCAAGTTTTTTCCCGCAACCCTCAAATACTTTTTCTTAGTAAAACTAAATTTGTAGAAAGATAGAAGAACACTGTCTAATTTTACTACCGTACAAATTTGAAACTGTTTTTCATTTAAATAAAAGGTGGTTTTACAATAATTATTTTAACAATTTAAAAATATCGGATAAGGTTTTATGTTTGTAATGATCTTCTGATGTTTTTTTAAGCGTATACAAAAAAAATGTCATTGAAATCCCTAAAATTAATTTTTGTCGAACTCAGTAAAATAGTACGTAAAATTGTCATGTTATACAGGGTGCGCCAGAACTCGCGCCCCAGAGAAAAATGCCATATAAGGTAAGATACCAGGAACATGGAAAAAATGTTAAAAAATAATTATCTATAAAAATTTCGATTAATAAAATTCTCGTAATTTTTTAGTTAAAATAATCAAAAGAAAAGTCTTATTTAAAATGTATCAAAAACCCAACAAAAGTTATTCCTTTATAATATTAARGATTTTTTTTAAATATTTTAGAATGACTTTTCAGATATTTAATTTATTATATTCAGCTTTCGCTTTTAACAGAACTTAGTTAAGATTGAGTACAGAGTGACTCAGCAAACCATTTTTTAAATAACTTTCAAAGTTTTCAATCATTTTAAAATTTTTCCTAGAAAGAATATATTTTTTTTTT